CGTTTCAGGCTGGACATAAGGAAGAATTTCTTTACTGTCCGAGCCCCCAAGGTCTGGAACAGCCTGCCACCGGAGGTGGTTCAAGCGCCTTCATTGAACACCTTCAAGACGAAACTGGATGCTTATCTTGCTGGGATCCTATGACCCCAGCTGACTTCCTGCCCTTTGGGCAGGGGGCTGGACTTGATGATCTTCCGAGGTCCCTTCCAGCCCTAATGTCTATGAATCTATGAACCCAGCCTCCCCAGCCACATTAGGGAAAGGGCGCCACTCCCAGATGTGGGGAAACAAATGTGAAAGCCTCAGCTTTCTTTTCCCTGCTGATGAGGATCTGGGTCCCCAGTTGGTAGTGGCCCCTGGGCTCATGCCCAGCTGGCCCATCCACTTATCTGCCTATGCTGCTAGCAGCCTGCCCAGGTGGCCGGGGGCGCTTCCAGCACCCCATGCACCATCTCCACCACCTTCTCTGGCCGCCAACACATCCAGCCACCCTCCTGCTACCTCCCCATGCTGCCCCAGGGGCAAGCTCGGTGTACTGGAGGCTGGAGAACATGGCAGGGACGGTGCATGGGACATTGGAAGCCTGGGAGGGCTTGGGAATGGATGCATCACTGCAATGTCACCAAACATTTTGCCAGATCACCAAAGACGAATATACCTCCTCTGCTCGTGCTTGTAGAGAGGCAGTTACATGGGCCAAGGCTACCATGGAGCTGAGGATGGCATCCCAAGTAAAGGACAACAAGAAATTTGGTTTTTAGATATATAGGGAGTAAAAGGAAGGCCCAGGGAGGAATAGGACCCCTGCTAAATGGGCAGAAACAACTGGTGACGGACAGGGGGGACAAGGCTGAACTCCTCAACGAGTTCTTTGCCTCAGTGTTCCTAAGCGAGGGGCACGACAAGTCTGCCAACATTGCAGAGCCACTGGCGGGAATATTTGAATGCTCGTGGCGCATGGGCCAGGTCCCGGAGGACTGGAAAAGGGCCAATGTGGTCCCCATTTTCAAGAAGGGGAGGAAGGAGGACCCGGGCAACTATAGGCCAGTCAGTCTCACCTCCATCCTTGGCAAAATCTTTGAAAAAATTATCAAGGCTCACATTTGGGAGAGCCCGGCAGACAAATTATGCTGAGGGGAAACCAGCACGGGTTCGTAGCAGGCAGATCGTGCCTGACTAATCTAGTCTCTTTTTATGACCAGGTTACGAAACGCCTGGACACAGGAGGAGGGGTGGATGTTGTATACTTAGACTTCAGGAAGGCCTTGGACCTGTTGTTTTCTGCCCACTTGTCTAACCTGTCCAGGTCTGCTTGCAGCTGTTCCCTGCCCTCCAGCGTGTCCACTTCTCCCCATGTTTCCAGTTTCCAACATGCCCTCTGCTCAGCATAGTATGGCACTGACTTTTTGTTACACACTCAGCTGTGGTTATTTTTGCATCTGTGCTTTCACAGTAGCAAAATGGGCCTTTTCATTGTACCATGCTGTGGGGCAAAGAGCACAACGTGTAAAAAGATCTGCTCTAGCTCTACCATTACTTTCCAGGCTCTGTGCAGGAGTCACTGGGGACCATTGCTGCCATGTGTTACACAGGAGGTCAGACTGGATAGCCACAATAGTCCCTTCTGACCTGAGCAACTCTAACTATCCCAGGAATACCTTGCTACAATGCCATTATGTTGCACACCTAAATATTTACCCAGTTTTGCATTTTTCATCTGCAGAAGCTTATTTGACTAATCTAAGATGACACTCCCCTGCCATCATTTTTAAGCTTTGAACTTCTCAGATCCCAACTAAAACCTTTGGTTCACTCATCTTCCAAATTTGAAGTAAGTGAGGGGTATGGCTAGTGCAATCCAAACCCTTTCCATACCGGAATGGCTGTTCAGGGGGGCATAGTTCAAATTCCCAACTCAATTCCAGCTCTTCTCAGACTTCTGTATTCCCAAATGATTTCAAATCCTTAACTGTGTTTTATTTATGGAAGTAGCTAAGTATTTTTTTCCATTCTCTTCTTCCAAGCCCCTAAACTAATATCAATTTCATATCAATTTTTGTTACACAAAAAGCTCGACTGAAAGATTCTTTTAAATAAGATATTACATACAATTAGTTTGACATAAAAATAATTTATGATGGTGTTTTATTTTTCTTTCTCTTTGTAGCTTTCTAATACAATGCTGGGGGCTTTTTGGTTGTCTCATTTTACATAAGTTGTGCCACAGAATGGAAGGCAGACCAGAAGGATCAGGTTTATACTTGGATTTTATTCTTTCCATAATTTATTCCTCCTTTCAAGTTAATTTGTATTTATTTTAAAATAGGAGTTCCTTCTCTAAAGTTGTCAAAAGTAAGCTGAAGCACTTTCAGCTAGTATGAGTTTGCAGTCATAGTAGCTTTGAAACCAATTCTTGTTTGATTGTAGAAGGCAGGGCAGGGTGGCAACTTAAAGACTAACTTGTGCAGAATGGCATAAGCTTTCATAGGCGACAGTCCACTGCATCAAATGCATGCTTTCCTCACCCCTATCTTTGCAAGTGAACTTGATAGCCACAGTCACTGCCCTAGACTGGGACCAGTCTTATCACTGCTACCCACCATGCAGGAACACGGGCTCTTCTGTGTGTTACTATGGTGGTACAGAGCAGAAACAGCTGTTATGGCTGTTGTGAGAACAGAGGCTTTTCCTGGTGTTCCTGCAGCAGTGGTGGCAGCTCTTCCTGCTGCTGCTGCTGTCACCACAGGAAAAACAGGCTCTTTGCCGCTGCCCCCACAATGAGTAGGCATATACTGTATGAATCTCCCCAATCAAGTCATAGCCAGGCCCAAGGGACCCAGTGGAGGGGAGGCCAGGGAGCACACCTGCTGATACATTGAACATTATAAACCATCCACCAATATGGCATCTCATTTAATATCTGGATTTGGCAAGAGTTGGTTTGTGAGACTGGGAATAGTTCTGCTTCCAGATATCTCTCATCTAAAGACACAATAAAACACTTTCAACAACAAATGACATGGGCTGCCAACCTCAACCTGCAGAACCTGTTGATCACCAGCTGGAGGCAGGAGGACTTCCCCCAGGCACAGGGGGGCTTACCTTCCCTCTAAAACTCCCGGTACTAGCCTCTTGGAGCCACGATACCAAACAGCTAGTCTGCTTCAGCACCCCTGCTATCAGAATTAGAGCAGGATTTGCCTTTCAACATGTTTCAGTATTCATTGCCATATGTAAACACCCACCATCTGCTGCCCTACACCAGATGCGACTGAACAGGAAAGATCAAAGGACAGCCCTGTAGTGCCAAAAAACAGCAGTGGCGAGAAAGAGAATGCAATTATACCTACTGGCTAAGCAGCCTGCCAGCAGGAGACTGGTATCAATTCAACCAAGGCTCCAGGTCTACCAACAAAGGAATCTGACTACAGACAGGACTGTCTGTCCCACGTTCAGGCATGAGGGAAGTATGCTTCTCCATTCACCTAATACCTTGTTTGGTACTACGCACAGCTAACACGGTCAGACCTACACTTTCAGTTCATGTACTTGCAATGCCATAGGAACCAGCTCCTTGGCTATCACCATTTGCTGTTCATTTTAGGATGAGAGTAAAACCAACCACTTACATGGCTCTCTGGTTATGAACTGAGGTACAGTGTTAGGAACAGAAGTGCTCGGGTTCGGTGTCCCCACTAGTTTGCTTTTGGCCATCTTCGTGTTTGCTTTGGCGAATTCTAGGCGTAGGGTTTGTGGAATTTCAGGGTCAAAGCGAATTCCCTTTTTCAAAAAAAGAAAACACAGCATGTCAATTATCTGTACAGTCAAACAGGAAAGATTTAATTAATGTAAGAGCGTAGTACCCCAAAAAGCAGAGGCTGTCTGATGCTCCCTACCCCAGCCCGCACATCACTCTTCTGAAGCTAGCAGAAATTGCATTTGAATGGGGTGTGGATTTTATACAATTCTGACTTGCCTGATGCTCTTTCAGGGACCATGCTAGCAACCAGGCATTTCCACATCGCCCAACAAAGTCACAGATATTTGGCATTGTGGATCTGACTGCAGCAAATGGGTTGTCCTCATTTGCTATTACACATATGAAAACGCTCCCAAATTCCAGTTTAAAAGTTGAATCTGATGATCTGTTTATAAAGTAAACCCTTAACTTTTGCAATTCTGCTTACTTAACCTGTTGATGAAACATTTACTAAACATTTACCAAACACATGAGGGTTTTGTTTTCCTAAATCTGTCCACTAATAATCTAATTAGACCTCTTCTGCATGACAGACTGCTTTGGAATCTGAATTGCAAGGTGCTGGTGAACACTGTAACCAAAGAATATTGTGAGAAGGTGGTGACATCTCACATGTATCAACCTTTTCAAATTGGAGCACTTGACGTGCAGGATGTCAAAACTGACAGAGTCGTATTTATCTTTGCACTTGGGGCATGGCATTGTTAATGATACAAGATGGCATGTTGATACTGGACTGACAACCATCACTAATCTTGTTGCAAAAGTGGCAGCACAGCCTGCATGGGAAAGAGGAAGGAGAGGCAGGCTGAAAACAGGAATTTCTCAAAGCAAGGAAGAAGAGAGCTTGCCTTTGAATGGAAAGGTCCAGACCCCAGAGCTGGGGGGGGAGGTTAGGGCTGTCAATTAATCGCATTTAAGTTGCATGATTAACGCATTAATCATTTCTTGAGTTAATTTTTTTAATGCATTCATCATGCACGTGGTTTTGGAGCCCGCACCTGGGCTCCACTCCGCCGCCTCCAGGCTGCCCAGTGGAACAGTGGTGGCAGCGCAGGGGACTGAAGGGCAGCCTGGGCACAGGCTCCAGATGGCAGTAGCAGGATGGGGTGGGAGGGAGGTGTACAGAGACACAGACAAGCAGCCACAGTGTGCAAGCTGTGTTCAAAGCAGCACCATGCCAGTAATTCTGTGGTGGGGGAGGGGCAGGGGAGAGGGAAGAACTTGGGGGGTGCAGATTGAGGGTCCCCATGGTAAGAGAGGGAGCAGGGCAGGGGCAGGCGCTGGGGTGAATGGCTGTGGGAGGCTCATTCAGAGGCGTAGGGTGAAAGTGGACTGCACACTGCGCTCTGCTGCCTTGCCCTGGGAGCCACGTGCTGGCCAGGCTTCACGTCCCTTGCCAGCCTGGTGGTGGGAGACATATGGCATCACGTAGCTCCCAGGGCAGAGGCATTAGGCAGAGGCAGACCCCAGTCTGCAGCGGGCAGCCTGCTTCTACCCCACTCACAAATCTGGAGGGCATGTGCTCCCCATGCCTCCCCTGGGGGTGTGCACAGTGGTGGGGAGCTCCCCTCACACCCCGGTGCCCCTGGATGAGCCACCCGCAGCTCTGTCTCACAACCCACCCCGGCCCTGGGTCCCATTCACCCCAGTGCCTGTCCCTGCCCCACCCTCTCTCTCACTGTGGGGGCCTCAGTCTGCCCTCCCTGCCCCTTCCCCTCCACAGACTTACCAGTGCGGCGCTGTCTGTGTGTGTGTGTCTGCCCCTCACTCCCAAGCCATAGCCCCCCCAGCCCTGCTGCTGCCCCTCACTCCTAACCCACAGTATCCAGCATCCTGCTAGGGTGTGCAGGGACCCACTCTCCCCAGGCTCCAAACCTCACCACCCCCCACACCTTCATAAATTCCCCCCCACAACCCCACCATACAAAGTATCTGCATAATTTTGAGATTTTCTGTGCATAGTTTTGATTTTAGCTGTGTGATTAAAATCACGATTAATTGCCACTATTTTTTTTTATTTGCGCAACTAATTGCAATAATTTTTTTAATCATTTGACAGACTGAGTTTTTGTTTTTTTGGAAAGATGGGGTATAAATTGGATGGATACTATGAATATTTTATATTAAATAGGAGAGATGTTCACTCCTGCTGTGGATGATAGCCCCATAATTACTTGCCTTTGAGCATTTTACATTTGTTATTAGCAGGGGAGAACAGGGGAAAACAGACAAAAGGAGAGCTCTGGGGCTGGAAATAAAAGACCCAGCCCAAAACCTGAACCTGAACAACTCCAAACTCCATGTTAGCCAGGATCCAGATCTGGTCTCTAGGGCTCAGAGCCACCGCTAGGTGAACTGTTCAGTACCAACAGTGGTGATGAGCAGCCTAAAAACAGCTGGGTTATGAAAGGTTCAACTGGTAATAAACTTCTCTGAGCCTTTTCCTAAACAAACCTGAACATCTCATTAGGACAGGCTAGCTTGGGAGATTTCAAGTGCTGTTAGCTTGTAACCAGTCCAAAACCACACAACACAGAAACAGGAAGTCCTCTGGTATGTTCTGTTGCAAGTCTACCCAGAAGAAAAAGGATGATCTTGCTTGTAAGGTATCTGGTATTTAGGGTTGTAATGAGTCACAGAACTTGGGACTCGAGTACAGTCAAGTCATTTGGGAGTAAGACTTGAGTTGAGTCAAGTCATTGACACGCCAAGCTCGAGTTGAGTCAAGTCACTAAGTTTGCTTAAATTGAGTAGAGTCAAGACACTTACCTGGCTCAAGTCAATTCAACTCATTAGGTCCAACAGATCAACATGGTTTGATTAGATAGATTTTGGTTGTTTTTATCATGGAATATCAGCCCTTCCCCTGCCAGTTTCACTCACCAGGATGCAAGTCCAGCTGCAGCTGTCCCCCCGCTGCATTGTGGCACACAGCAACGCTGATATGTCAGTGTCCTGCCCCTGGCGTTGCAGGAGCCCCTCACCCCCCAGCCACCACCCCCTCGCCTTGCACGCGCCGCTCCCCCCCAAGCCACAACCCCCTGGCGTTGCAGGTGCCCCTCACCCCCAAGCCATAACCCCCTGGGTCCTGCTGCTGCCCCTCCTCCCCAAGTCACAACCCCCTGGCATTGCAGGCATACCTCACCCCAAGTCACAACCTCCTAGATCCTGCTGGTGCCCCTCACCCCCAAACCACAACCCCCTAGCATTGCAGGTGCCCCCTGTGAAGAGATCCCCCTTTTTCATCTGCCTTCTGCTCCGAGTTTGCCTACCCCCTCTCTGTTTTCAGACTCTGCCTGCTGGATCCACCTGGTCAAGCTAAGTGACCAGGTTGTAAAAATTTCATAGGAAGTGGGGAGCTCACTCTTCCTTTGTCCTCAGTTTCTTACTGAACAACCTGTGCAACCCTGGTCACTCCATCTGGGGATGCTGATGACTTTTAAAAGGATTTGTCTGCCTCAGCTGGGTTCAAATAATGCTTGCTTCTGGTTGGAGCCATGTGATGAGGTCAGAGAAGGTATTTTAAGGGTCAGGTCACCTGCTCTGGGGGGCTTCCCGTGGCAGGAGTTTTTGGAAACGGACACAGAAGCTTGGGCCTCCAGGATCTTCTGGATGTATCTGTAAGTAGCCTACCTGAAATTTAGCCAGTGAAGTAGGATAATGTATCTTTAGCCGCATGTAAAAAGGGCCAACAAGCCCATTCTGTTTTGCTCAAGGCATTTTTCTCTAAAATCTCTTTGCACTATGACCCCCCCATTCTCTCTCTCTCTCCGATCAGTAAATGCTATCTGTTAGAGCTGGCCTGGCTGTGAGTTCTTGAGGGAGGAGGGGAGTGACTAGCCTTTGTGCCCTGGGGTGGGCGGGACTCAGGCACCTGCTGCAGGCCAGACAAAATCCATTGGTGGGCTGGATCTGGCCCGCTGGCCGTATTTTGCCCACCCCTTCTCTAGTCTGTAACTCACACAATCAGTGATGTTTCAAAGCCCTTCCTCTTCTTAAAGAGAATGAATGGAAAAAAAGAACCTTTACAATGCGGAACCAACCACCCTTGCTTGCTTTTCACAGATTGTCTTTGTTCCAGCAATACGACCACCTTGAACCTCTGAGAACTGATCTTGGACCTTCCATAGCCACAGGCAGAAGCCAAGGCCACAGCTGTACCAGGCAGCAGGCCAAACACTAGCTCCAGCTCTGCCTGGGCCCTCTCATGAGGTTCCCAATGGGGGACCAGGTGACCTAGGTAAACTAATAAGAGCCACAAGCCCCTTATGAGAGCTACAAAACCCTCCCACCCCTTGTAGGGCTTTGTCCCAGTAATAGCATTGTTGAGTACTGCTGGCTTGGACCCCTGTGCTTGTATTCCTGTCTTGGACCTCCTGGCCTTGATTAACTATTTGCCCTGACCATGACCTTGTCTTGACCCTGGCAACAAGACTGATACCTGGCTTTGACCGTGGCTACTTTGATTCTGGTAAACCCCTGACTCAGATCCTAGTGTCCCATGTCCAGTAGGCCTGTGTGACACTTCAGCAGCCATTTTGTTTCGGAGGTGTTTTGGCCCATTTCGGCACCCAAAACACTGAATCCAAAACGAAACAAGGCTCCAAAACATCTCCGAAATGAAACAAAACAAAACCATCCGAAATGTTTTGGAAATGTTTCAGAGGCCCCACCTGGGAATAGTCCAGCACAGCCCCGCAGCTCTCCTTTTAAAGTGCCGGGAGGCTGGGGCCAGGCAGGGGATGGGGCCAGGCAGCCAGAGGGGCTTCTCCCGTGGCTCCCCCAGCCTGGGGAGAGGCAGGTACAGCCAGAGGAGTAGGGGGAGAACCTGCAGCTGCCCAGCTGTACCTGCCTCTCCTGCGTCGATCCAAATCTCTGAATCAGCGCCAAAACTGCGCCAAAACTCTGAAACAGATTCGGCTGAATCAAAATGAAACAGGGATCCGAAACACCGAAATGAATCACTGTCCTCTGAACCAGCCGAATCTGAAACATAGCTGTTTCGCACAGCCTTAAT